CTCCAGCTTCCCCGGGGATGCGGGGGTCGGTGCCCGAGTGGGCAAGGGTGGCTCAGGCTGCCCCTTCTTCGGCAGCCACCAACACCTGCTGTCTTCCAGGGGTGCCACATTTTTCTTGGAGTCCCGGCATCATAGAATCATTGAATGGTTTGGGTTGGAAGGGACCTTAAAGATCATTTAGTTCCAACACCCCCGCCATGGGCAGGGACAAATTCAGGAAGAATTTCAAGGAAGGGGTTGTCAAGCATTGGAAGAGACTGTCCAGGGAGGTGGTGGAGTCACCATCCCTGGAGGTGTTCAAGAATAGACTGGACATGGCACTTAGAGCCATGATCTAGTTGACAAGGTGGTGATCGGTCAAAGGTTGCACTCAATGATCTTGGAGGTCTTTTCCAACCTAAATGATTCTGTGACACCTTCCACTTAGACAAGGTTGCTTAAAGCCCCCTCCAGCCTGACCTTCAACACTTCCAGGTGTGGGGCAGCCACAACTTCTTGAGATCCTCAAGCTGGATGGGTAGAAAACAGCACTTCTCCTTCAGAGTCAGGTATTCTTATTTAATGCTGTGCAACCTGAGGGCTGGAGCCACTACACCCATGTTCACTGCACTCCTGAGAAGGTCCCATGGGTGAGGAAGGCTCAGGCTCTTTTCCTGGGTAAGAAACCATGGCTACCCCCTCTAGTCCCAACACTCCCTCTGGCATTCTTGGTAGCATCTCCCCATGACCATCACAGCTCCCCTGGTTCACAGTTGTCTGGAATTGGAGACCAAGGGGCAAAACCAAAGGAGGTGAAGTACCCTGAAAAAGCCAGAACAGGGACAAAGAGAGAGGTGTCCTTTAACGATGACACCTCATGGGGTGGGCACGAGCCCACATGCAGTTGTTTCTGAACAATCTTTGTGATTACCCCCAACAAAAGATTAAAGGGTGGGGACGCAAAAATGTGTTGCTACTGACACCACAGAGAACCAAGATATTGGCAAATTTTGAAAATACAGATCCTTTTCAAGCTGAGAAAATGCATTTTTTTTTCCTCCAGCAGCTCATTTAAAAATAGTCTTTTCTGAAGAGCTTCTTTTCGGGGAACTGCAAAGTTGAGTGCCATGAGAAAAGCATTACTTCAGAACATGTGATAAGCAAAGGGTTGGGGAGCTGCAGCTGTGCCTACAATGTCAACCTCTGACTCTTCACAGTTGTCTCTGAGGACATACGAGATGGGAGCACCCTGTCAATATCCACAGGGCAAGACTGCCACAATCAAACCAGTGAGCAACCGTAGCCATGCCATCCAGCACATCATTTATCTGCTCTGTGCAGACCTCCTCAATCCATCATTCTATCACAGGGAACCTCTGCGTGATCTTTGTTGTATCATGAAGTTGCAAAAGGCAGAGCTTTGACTAACAGCAGCTGAAGCTGGTTCAGCTGTTGCCCTCTTCACACTCTTCCGTACCACAAGAGCCCCTCTGGGCTGCTTCTGATCCCCAATACCAAGCTCACTTCACCATGTCCGGGGTGGTATCTTCCAGAGTGTGTGATCAACAAGTAATCAACTCATTTCAGGTCCTGGACCACAAGCTGGAACCTACATTCTGATTGGATGGCAGACGGCTATTGCCTTCGGGTGATTAGCCAGACTCTTCCACTGGCCTGCCAACAGTTCATGTAATTGTCATGTAAGCCTGTGAGGTGACATGCTGAGTAGATTGCTTCTGACTGGTTGCCAGCTATCATGTATCCACGACAGCCTCTCTTCTTCAGGAAGCATCTGGTTGTGCCAGAGCCATAGATAAGAATCATGCACACTTGATGTGGCCCACAGTAATAATAATCACAAGGGATAGTACTCCAACCTATTCTAGAGCTTCAGATAGTAACTACCAGAACTAGTAATTCATTGTTTTTTCTTTTGTAATCATGCTGTAGGTGTGATGCCCAAGTCAGATGGTGACTTTACACAACAGTACTATATTCCTGAGACACGAGCCTGTGGGAAGTAAGGATGCCAGTGCAAGGCAGGGGATGAAGTGCGATATTGGGATGACACTGTCTTTGTTCATGCTCCATGCTGAGTGGTAATGCAGCAGAACTGTGTATCTCCTGGGGTATTACACTTGGCTTTGTTCCTTGATTTAGAAGACACAGAAGCAGATTACCAAGATGCTGTGGCTGCTCACCCTCTCATATCAGGGGAAAGACCCACTCTTAAGAGTCTTTTAAGAACCTTATTTTGGTCTAGGTCATCCTCTCCATATCAGCCAGAGCTGCAGGAGTGGCATGATTTGTCTGAGCCATTTGACAGCACAGACCTGGCTGTGTGAAGCCTGAGCCCAATGGCTAGTGGCAGAGTGTCCCCAAATGGCTCAAACCAAGCGTTTGGGTACTTTGGATAGTCAGCCAAGGGGGTTGAAGGTAGAGTGCCCTGGGAAAGCAACTCAGTGTTTACAGGGAGCCTGGGTCTATGGCCCTGGTGTGCTGTAGGGTAGGTGGTGTAGCTGTAGGAGGCCAAACAGAGGTAGTTCTCTGTCCTCCTTGCTTCAGGTCTGAGGGTAAAGTATCCAGCTCTTCTTCTTCTCAGTGGATGTGAAAGGGTCTGGTCTGCATTTCAGAGGATAATCTCGTTGCTTCTGAGGCTGTAGAGCAGGTTTCTTTCAAATTACTTCCTCCAACACACTGTATTCAAAGCAGGAGTCATGCTCCATAAGAGGATGTTGGCATCTTTGACCATGCTGAAGATCTACATTTTCTTTACTTCACTCTGATATTGTCTGGATTTATTGTCCAGACCACTTGTCACCAGCTGAGTCAAGCAGGCTGGAAACAGGTACTAGTTTTGGCATTCTGTGTTCCTACATGTATTCCATGGTCCTACGTGAATTCTGCCCTTAAGCACAGAAAAGCACAAACATCCTCCTCCCGAGGAAAATTTGGTACCCAGCTATTACCTGGCTCCTATCTCACATAAAGATTGCACAGGGCATCCGAAGGGGAACGCCACCAGTGGGAGCACTGGAGCAAGACTGAGGATGCAGCTGTATTGTCTAATTCAGGTGGGTCTATGGGACATGTGTTAGAGGTGGGCTGCTCCGGCTAGGCGTATTCCCAGCTAATCACCCTTGCTTCACCAGCTGAAGTACTCTCCTATTATCACAGATTATGTTGTTGGGGTGGGAGAAGGAAATGAAGACATGGGAGATGGGCCTTGAAAGTGTCACAGGACACTCATAAGATTGTTTGTCAAGGACACAGTGAAATTATCAGCTTCCTTACAAATGATCTTCAGGCACCTCTATCTGTCTGTGCTTTGCCAGGGAACACTCTTCCCACTGGTGACCGGCTCATACCAGATCTCTCAAACAATAGCTTCCAGTATTTCCTAGCTACTTTCCAGATGTGGTTTCTGAGTAAAAGCTTCCCTTCTCATGAGACAGTAAGCCAGCAGAACCCACTCTGGCATGACACAGCAAAGCAGTGATCCTGCCCAAGTGTGTTCATCATGCATATTTGGACATCAGAAGCAGTGGGATAATGCCCCTCACTGAATCTTATATCTGATACATGGGGGCATATGGTGTTATTACAGAGGCACTAATTGCATGTTTATTTGATCTTTTTCAGATAATAATTCAAAGATGTTTGATGAGCAGGTTCTCTAGTACACTTCCATAAATATTCCAAAGATGCTTTCTTCATTCTTTTTAGCACTATTTTCGTCTTCATTCCTCATGTTTTTGTAGCTGTGAATTACTTCCTGTGATTTCAATGCAAGACACTTGCTAACTTCTCTGAAGTCACCCATAATTCTAAGGAAAAACACTAAAATGGTGTTTTATCTCTTACACCAAAAGTCTGAAAGCCAAGAAATTTTGAACTTCATAAAGCTGGGGACACACAATATATGTCTTGGGCACTACATTGTTAAAAGTCTGAAATGGGTTTGTAAGTAGCTATATTTTCTCATTTCCCCGTTAAATAGAGGGCCTTATCTATCTATCTTGTTTTTTGTAAAAATGCTTACAGAAGAAACAGTAAGAAGGGTCCTTGAAAAGGGATTTTTTTTCTTAGAATGCTTTTAATTCTGTAGACTTTCTCATTTTTCTTAATATTTATTTAACTCAAGTGCCTCAGGTTTTTGCTTTCCTCGAAGAAGATCCCAGTTCCCTTCCCACCCCAAAACAATCTCAGAAGTGCTCTTCAGCGGGCCGGAATTGAGAAAACTTGGGGGGGTTGATGGTTTGGTATTTTTTTTTTTTAAGTTTAAATCAATTTGGGAAGACTATAAGATTTCTGGTCTTCTATACCAGAAAACAGCCCAGAAGGATTGGGGAGTGGACTTCCTAGGAGGATATTTTCGCGGGGAACAAACTCAGAGCAGCCACTGGATTGCAGATCAAACCCTCGGAGGGGTCTCTAGCAATCGTTTTGCTGCCTCCTCGCCCAGAAAAGGTAACTCGGCTCTGCGTGGCCAGGCCGGGACAGCCCCCCCGCGGCACTGCCTTGTTCGCGGACCGGGACCCGGCAGCAGAGGGCAGCAGACGCCGGGCGCCGCGGACCTGGTCCGGTGCCAGGCCGTTCGCAGCCCGGCTTTCTATTCCCCGCTCCTGCCTCGCTCCCTCCTCCTCCTCCCCCCGCCCTGCCG